AGTCAATTCTACAGTGCAGTGAAGGTATGTGAGTTATAGAAAGTCAAAATAAAATTGAATATAAAGTCTCCAAAAAGCCTGGGTCATACGATCAAACTGAAACTATCAAAACAGGAAGTTCAGGGTTCTGATTGGTTCTGCAAATACCAAACAGAGATCAGTGCTTTCAAACTACTGCGGTAATTTGATAGTATAGAGATCTAAAATTAATTGCTATTCGCAGAGCCTAGCAGAACCCTGATCTCACACTGACCTCGCCAGCTTGATACCTCAGTTTGAATGTGATGATCCAGCCTGGACACTGCTGTAGATTGTCCGGAATGCATTCTGTCCTCTTAAAGTCCATGACTTGAGAGGAATTTTCTTTTTTCACGGAGTCACTTACGTTTTTGCGAAGTGAAATTTATTCCTCTTGCGGAGTGATACGCACTCTCGTGGTCTGAATTTCACCCTGTTTTCCATCATGTGGGTTGTTTGAGGCCTGTATAGACTGCAGAGTGAAAAACACTCCGGAAAGCACTACAATGTTATTTACAGTGTGTGGTGAGAGATATAGCAGACGGAAGTTCATACTCCACAAATAATATGTTGAGCACTAATAACGCGACTCCTCTCGTATTTGTAAAGACCCACGACGCACAGCGGGTCGAGTCGATGGGAGAGGTCGGTCAAAATTTGGAAACTTTAAAAGCTTATAACTCCATTTAGACAAAACTTTGAGATACTGAAAGTGGTTCAATAGACCACTATACAAATTTAAGCAATCTGATACATGTTTCTTAACCACAATTTTACGTAAAACACGATTCTTATTACGAAAATTACTGAAATCAACTTTTAACGAAGATATTAACGTTTTTATCACACATTGGTTACGAGAAATTTGAACTGCCCGCTGACAAGAAACTCAAAGCTCTACGTGAGTCAATTCGCGCACTACAACGGTTTCAGCAAGCTTCTCAATCGAGCAATGGTCATTTCCCACCATGTGTTGTTCACACTATAAGCAATTTGCTATAGCTGAGCCAAAGCGTCAAGATCGAGGTTGCCAGATTTTTATATCGCAGAGACTGTCATGATAACGTCTAGCGCTCGATGTGAATCACGTAGAGCATTGAGTTTTCATGAGCGGATGGTTTGAATTCACGCATCAAGAATCATTAAATATCTTCGTAACGAGTTAATTGCGGTAATTTTTGTTGCTCGCATCGTGTTCTGTGTGAAATTGTAGTTACGAAACATGCAGCAGAATGCTGAAATTCGTACCTTGTCCAGTGGTCCATTGGTTTCCTCGTGACATTTCTTTCTAGAAGCACCCCTTAAAATTTAAAATGTGACGAATTAAACATCAAAATTTGAAATTTTAGCCAAAAATTCCATGTCCGACCTCTTCCAATAGCTCGTTCCATTTACGACGGTGGCATGGGTAACGGCAACAGCAGTGCTCCTATTTTCTCGCAACAAAATCCAACCAACTAAACACCCAATCCAAGCACCCAAAGGAGCCTACATAATGAATCATATATCAAAGCGTTCATCGATGATTAAAATAAAAGCCTCTCAGGAAGATAGTGTCTTCAGAACGATTAGCTAGGTTAAGCAGTGCATAAAGAATGAACGCCGGCTAAATTACCCATTAAGAGGCCGTGCTCCACACGAGAAGATAAAGAATAGTATACTTGTTTATAAAAGGGGAAGGTATTCACTGGGAGGAGCCATAAACGAGGCCAGGTTTGATGGAGGCATTTTAACACTTTATCTCCACTTTTAATGATCCTTCCTCGAAGCGCTGCATTCTTTCACCACAATTTCCCCTCAACCCAACTACTGACTACCGCGATGTTGTCAAATTTGGCTGAAATCAACCGCATTCCGATTTGAAAAACGAGTTTGATAAGCCACAATTTGACAAAAGTGCGTGCTGTTTCGCAGAATCTTCCCAAGTCGACAATTGTTGCTTTACTACCTGACAGCGTTCCTGAATACCCCATTCCTCGAGAGGCTATTAGGGTAATAGTTGTGATAGGTGGGGAAGGGGCGAGAGAACCGTCGCGGGGAGGGGAGGGATGAGGAAAGGTGGGGAGGGGGAGGTTAATGAAAGCTGAAAGTGAGAGGCGTGGACCGCTATTAATAACGAAACGACGGAGGGGGTGGATTCTGATTTGAGGCTTTTGGTCGCTGGAGGGGTGAGGGTGTCTCCGGTGGTGATTAAGCGGTTCCAGAAAATGCAGCCGGCTCATTCTTAATTGATTCCCCCGTTTCCCGCGAACTCGGTCGTCTTAACGAACTGCGCCGGCATGGCAGAATGGAAGCGGTGTTCTGGAGACCAGCGTTGACTTCATTTCACGATGCTGCGCCTTCATTCGGCGCGTGATACCAATTGCTGACAAGAGTGTCGTAATGGTTGTATCAGAATCTGACTTCATCTCATGATGCTGCGCCTTCATTTGGCGCGTGATGCCAATTGTCGTAATGGCTGTATCAAATCTGACTTCATTTCACGATGCTGCGCCTTCATTTAGCGCGTGATACCAATTGCTGACAAGAGTGTAGTGATGGTTGTATCAGAATCCGACTTCATTTCACGATGCTGCGCCTTCATTCGGCGCGTAATACCAATTGCCGACGCGAATGTCGCAATGATGGTATCCGAATCTGATCGCATGCATCAGACCTCCTCCTCATGCATTCATCATGTCTACCTACCCCTCATCGTTCCCTCTCTTTTTACGCCACCTCCACCTGGGCACTGTTATCAATTTCCTCACGTGCCCCCAGAGGAGAGTTTGTCCAAAAATTGGTCAAAGGGCTTCGACCTCGCTCCGTTGCAGAATATTTTCGAGTCTCGGTTTTTTTGGCGCGTATGCGTAGTATACCGCCTTTGCGATCGTTTCGACCCCCCACTCGATACAATAACCGAGTCCCTTAGTTCCTTACCGAAAAGTGACTACCGCGAACTTCAGAGATTTTCCAAAGCGTGTAAAAAGTTTATTTATCCGTCAATAATTATGATTTAAAGTTGTTTCTCATTCTGGGGCTCTCTAGTTTATGTGTAATGAATACCAAGAGTCTACGTTACTTGGTTTTTCTTAAAAAAACTTTAGAACGCGACGCGCTGATTTAAAATATGCATATATAAGCAGAAGCAAGCGAACTGATTCGAGGATGGCTGATCAGGTCGGCACTCGTTGAATGAGAATTTCACTTCTTCGTTTTGTTTAAAACGTTGCTTTGACAGATCTCCACACCACTGTTATCCTTTTCAAAAGTTGGTACTCCTTGCTCTGATAGCTAGGGCCAGCAGGATAGTAGTAAGTGCAATCTGTGATGAGCCTCGAGACTCATTAGCCCATGTGCTAACCGTAGCCCATACAGAAATTCACTCCCCTATCAGGCCAAAACAGTGCACAGGCAGGCACAAAACCCAGGTAGTGTCCCGGTCCTGGCTCGGTTCGCCGCCGCGTCGCTTCCCAGCTGAAGAACAAAAGGCGACCCTCGCGGTCCTCGCCACAGTCAGACCTAATTACTTTCACTCGATTACCCATTTCACCGTCACGCTGGGATCCATCAAATTTTCGAAAAAATTGTTTCGCGAGTACTTAGCAATTTTTTCCTTACTCTCCATTCAAAGACGAATTGAAAGACGTCTCATTCATAAAAATCGGCCGAATAGAAGAGAAGTTACAGTATTCGAAATCCGAAGAAATCGCAACGAAACTTCTCCATACAAAAAATAAAATGAAGGGGAAAAAATAAATGTATAAATTACAATTAAATATAATTGACCTCAGAATTTGGCAAGCAATTCAACTATATAACGGAGAAATTACAAAAAATTCGCCTCTTGCAAGGGGCTTCCTTGTAAGAATTTTGATCTGAAGGCAAGGATTGAATACCAGCGCAATACTCCATACAATACAGGGTGTGCCTGAATGAACATTTTTTTTTCGTGTCAAAATAAAAAATTCTAAATATTTTTTAACTACAGTGTCTCTTGAGTCGTTTAAGCCAAAAAAAAAAAATCCGTCAAGATTCTGGAAAGTAAAGGCGCTTTAAAAGTATTCTGGGGCTATGTATCCTAACTGTGTCCACACATGGTTTCTGTTCAGCATATCCATGTGTAAGTATTTTTACACGTAGAATCTAATTTTCACGTCAGGGAATCGACACATCTCGATTTTCCATTTTATACGGAAAATTGATGGTTTTTCGGGATTGAAATTATTATTATTTCATGAATAATAAATGCACCCAAAATGACTATAGCATATTGATTTTTATATATTTGTACCCACGAAATTGGTTGGTAAATTCAACGAGTGAGTGCATCGACCTGGTATATCAAGTTTCTGCAATTTTTTACGGCAAATCGGTAGATTTTCGGGATGTAGATTGCTTACTTTCAATTCATGAATGAATAAAGCATGGACATGGTTGAACTTCTTTGCATGGAAATACGTTTAAAATAACAAAATCAAGACATATTTAATGCAATTGCATTTATATCGAGTCAATTTCTTTTCAATAATATATCGGGATTTATAATAGGTACCGGTGATTTGAATATTTTAGCCTCAAAAAGACCTTTAAATCGACTGTATCTTTCAGGAGTTCGACAGAATTTTTCTTTTCTTCGCTTAAATTATTCCGTAGCACTTTTCTTTAAGAATCTGATAAGATATTGCTGGGGGCAGATCAAAAATCTTAAACTCGTTCGAATGGCTTTCTACATTCACAACACAAGGTCTCGTCAAAGTGCGTCGTTGAAGAGTTGGATCGTATGAATTCCCTTGTTGTGCTACTTGCCTATTTTGAAATCTCTGTAAATGAAAACTAAAGGGGTTGATATGTGTGAGTTAATGACGCGCCTTATCAACACATTGTGTTGGAGTTCACTGCTTGTTTTTATTTAACCCCTTATTACTAAACTTTGTCTATAATTGCTAGTTTTTGTACTCTTCGATTCATTTCTTAGCCCTGTTCTGTTTTTTCTGTTTCAGAGCTCTGTAATCAGGAAACACCGGTCCATGCTACTCGGGCGGGGCGGGCCGATTCCAGACCACGCCTAGTATGAAACGGAAAAAAGCCGGCAACTCCGACTCGAGCCGGGATGAACTGCAGGGGCGCCCGCTCTCTCCGGCGCCGGCGCAGGCGGAACGGGCTGGTGGCTTGCAGTGATGAGACGTAGCCACGCCCGCGGCCCCACCCACGGCCACGCCCACGGCCTAGGCTCCGCCCACGGCCACGCCCCGCCCCCGCCCCCGCCCGCCTAACGCGCTCGTATGGAGCTCGGCAACGGCACCATACTCGCGACACCCGGACCCAGCATTAGCATCAGTCTCATCGCGACGAACGCGACCGGCCTCCCGTTCTCGACGACCGTCACCTCGACGATCCGCAACAACCTCACCTCCAAGACCGGGCTCATCAACTCGCACAACCACTCGGCCGTCGAGGCCATCGTCATCGGGCTCGTCCTCTTCATGATCATCGTCGTCACCATCGTCGGCAACATCCTCGTCTGCATCGCCGTCTGCCTCGTCCGCAAGCTCCGCCGCCCCTGCAACTACCTCCTCGTCTCGCTCGCCGTCTCCGACCTCTGCGTCGCCATCCTCGTCATGCCCATGGCGCTCCTCTACGAGATCTTCGGGCAGTGGATCTTCGGCCCGCTCCTCTGCGACCTCTGGGTCTCCTTCGACGTCCTCTCCTGCGCCGCCTCCATCCTCAACCTCTGCATGATCTCCGTCGATCGCTACTACGCCATCACGAAGCCCCTCGAGTACGGCGTGAAGCGGACTCCCCGGCGCATGATGCTCTGCGTGACGCTCGTCTGGCTCGCTGCCGCCTGCATCAGCTTGCCCCCCGTCCTCATCCTCGGCAACGAGTTCGGGGACGTGGACGGGGACGGCATCGTCCATTGCGTCGTCTGTCAGAACTTCGGCTACCAGATCTACGCCACGCTAGGGTCCTTTTATATCCCGTTGACTGTTATGATAATTGTGTACTATAAAATCTTCCGGGCGGCCCGGAAGATCGTGCTCGAGGAGCGGCGCGCCCAGTCGCACCTGGAGACGAACCATTGTTACCTGGAGATCAGTGTTAAGAATGGAGGCGGCCCGCCGGAGTCCAAGATCGCCGGGACGACGGTCCCCGTGTCGACCTCCTCGACGCCCGCCGCCACCGGCAGAGGGCAGCAGCATCGGTCGAGCACCATCAGTACAACGACAACGGTGAGTTCTCTATTTTGGTATTTTTACCATTAGGTTTTCGATGATGCCCTGAAATCGATGTCTTCACCTTCCGGTCAAAGTATTACAAGCGTCATGCGATTCATAAAAAATCCCGCCGCCTTTTTACTTTTTTTCTACCAAAAAATTGTTCAAGAAAGCTGTACGAAAATTTCCCTGAATTTTGTCGGCAGCACGAAGAAAATTCAGTGAAATTTTCAAACAGATTCAAACGACGATTTCTCCTTAAAAAAATAAAATGACGGCGGAGATTTGGAAATGTCGCATGGTGCTTGAGCTAATTTTTTAGTGTGGTAAATCGGTAATGCTGTCAAGCATACGTAGCTAAGAATCTGATTGCACTGGAAAAAAAACACATTGAATGTAGTGTCCAGACTCTTAAAAACATCGACAAGAAAAATTCTCATGATTCAATCAGATTTAAGCTTAAATCAAGCCTCTTAATTTGAGCGGATTTCCTTTTGATTTAAGCTTAAATCTGATTGAATCAAGAGTCCTTTTTCTTGTCAATGTTTTCAAGAGTCTGGACTCTAGATCCAATGTGTTTTTTTTTTCCAGTGTGTGTTCAAAAATTCTACGTTCTAGTTTGCTTAAGCTTTGCCCACAGTCCACACAAGCGCAATTTGGGCGAATTATTTTCCACGCACCAGAGGTTCGAGGAAAAAGTTATCTAGCCAATCTCTACGAAGTTCCCGAAACAAGTTCGCCCAAAATTCCGTGAGCCGTGCTCGTGTGGACAAGATCTAAAGTCAAAACATGCGTAGCTCAGATTGCAAGGTTGCAAGTCCTCGCTAAAGTTTTTACTTCTTTAAGGGAAAACTAAACAGTTTCCATTGAGAGATTCATTCGGGATTTCCAATTTTTTGCACATTTTCTTTAAAGTCCGCCTCCCGGCTCGAATTTTTTACGTGACGCTAGGTTTGATCTCCCCCTCCTTGTAACGCTGGCTTGAACCCCCCCCCCCTAAGTGCGTTACGTAATACTTGAACCGTCCCTAATATACGTTTTTGTTTTTCATGCGTTTGTTCTCAGATTCCTCTTGGAGGACTAGAACTCACGGAGGCAGAAGTTATAAATAGCTCCGACTTTTTGCATGCGTCGATAGGCTCATATTCGCGATTGTAAGGGTGGGCCCGGTACTCAATTCCGGGTTGATTCCATCTTCGTGCAAAACTTACAAAGTCTGCCGGGAGAAATAGAATTCTAAGCACGTTGAATAGAACCGATAGAATTTATGGCGCTCATCACCGTACGCCTCCTCTCGCCGCGTTTTCGTTCCGTTGCTCTCCGCCAACGGTTCGTATGCTAATTCTCCCGGGCTAAGGAAAACGCCGTATGAGCTTTCAAATGTTGCCAAATTTCTCCAATAAAAAATGAACAATTGTTTCTCCATGAAAATTATGAATGTTTGGACGGATTTTTCCGGAATCAGCCTAAATCAATTAACGTTGCCTCATTTGCTTTCGTGTTTTATTTTTTTAAATAGATAAATTACTAATTAACGCCTTTAAATTTTCTAGAAATTTACCCTCGATTATGTAAAACAAACTGACGAAATTCCAAATTTCGGCGTTGCATAGTTTTCTGTATGAAAAGTAGAGCATCGGAGGAAATCAGGCAACGTCTGATGGAATTTGACAGATTTCGCATAATTCTATCCACTTTTCCTAGAAGTCAAACAAAGCTTTGAGCAAGTGGGCCTACAATTATTTAAATGGAAAATTCCGGGGAATAAGCTCTCCGTTTTTGCTATAATCGTCAAAAATATTATTATTAATCATACTAGTTGGTAAAGGTCCCCAAACTTTAACAATTGGATTTAAAAGGGAATTTTTTATTGCATCGTAAACAAGACACTTTTCTGCTTCATATTTTGCGCGGTTTCACTGCTTGCTCGGTTTGACTGCTTGTTCGGTTACGTTTTCAACAAATAACAAGTGAATTTGAAGGGTAAACTTTGACAGAAAGTAATTAGCACAAGATAGCAATAAGGACATCGCTCCGTGGAATTCTTGCTGTATTCGGTCAAAAATGACGTCAATTTTCGGGCAATTATTGCCGTTCAATAACCCACGTATTTTTCAAACAGGGCAAATTTTGATATTTTAACGGAATCTTTTAGTTAATTGAAGTAAGAATCGTGAAATTTGAATGAAAACTGAATTTCAAAAATTCGGTCGTCACTGCTCTCCTTGGTGACACGGCAAAAATTTTCACCACTTTCCCGTATTTTATCGAAGGAAATTTGGCAACATTCGTGTGTGGGTGTGCCGTTTTTCCCTAACGCGACAGAATGCCTCTCCAGGGCCCGTCGATTCATAACAAACGCGTTTGGAAAGGCTCTTCAACTTCTCCCTGCAGCGGCCCAATTCATCTTATTAATGCTAAACGAAACTATTTGCGAATGATAGAAATCAAAAGGAAGTATGAAACATACAAACCCCATGCACATAGCCTCTTCTTAATTCTATTCATTTGTACGTAGTTCCTTTCAGCAAAATAAGTCCAATTATGAGTCACGTTGACTCGAAGTTCGTGAATCGGTGCTCGAATGTCGGATGCGAATGAGTACGTTTTCTGCGCTAGTTGGGAAAATAGAACCGACGCACAGTGCAGCACGTCGAAAAAAGAAGTTGGAGATTTTGTAAAAAAACTTCAAAACTTAATGATGTTTAAATTTATACAAAACGTAAATATTGAAATAGGCTTTCATTGGTTTTTTCGTTAAATTTTCTACGAGAAGCAACCCATTGCAATCCTGAATCTGACGAAATAAACGTCAATATCTAGATTTAATGTCGAATTAATGTCGCTCTTAGAAAGGCAAGATGGATATTATATCATCAATGATGATAGCATTTCATACGGTGAAAATTGATATGCGAAGTTCATACCTGAGTTCCCTCCCAGCCTAGATCTCTACGTTACATTGTGATCTAGGCTGTAAAGTAAAATTTAGTCGAAGGCCTTGTGGGCTTTAAGAGCTAAAAAACGTTAAGTTATCTACAGCGGTCTCTTATTACCTCCATAGGACGCATTTGACTGGTGAACACATCTATAAGCGACATAGGCATGGCAGCACTGACGAAAGCCTCGAATGGATTGTTTACAATGGATTAAAATGGAGGAAAAACATTGTCGACAACGCCAAATCGCCACGAATAGAATGTATCGAACACTTTGGTAACAATGTGCTTAAAACTGGAGAACCAATCAGAGATAAGACCCCGATATCCGACATGAGAACACTGCCGTGCCAAGGAAAAAACCTTTGAGCGTATGATCCTTTAGGCGTTGCAAGATTCCATTCAATAAAAACCGAATTTCATGGAACATTTTTGAATATTTTTCTTCAAAATTTTCAGACGATTTTATTTGCAATTCGATCTAAAGTACTCGAAATTTTCAAGAAAAAATATTCAGAACTTTCCTCAAAACTCCATGATTTATCCGGAGAAATTTGGCAACTCTTGGATGTTCTCACGGCCTTTTTCCTCAGCACGGCAGAATACTGTTCCATTATCTTGACTCCAAGTTGCCTCTCACCTGGAATAGAATATTTATAATGAATTTGACTGAAGAAAAAACAGGATTGTCAAATCAGAATCTCCACTTAAGGAACGTATTGCTTAAGCCGGCAACAACCAGAGGCCTAGGAAAGGGGGGGCAGAGGGGGCCTGTCCCTCCAGAATTGGAAATAGTATCATCTGGCCCCCCCAGAAATTCTGGATGGTGCAAAAACACCTTCTTCAGCGATAAGTCTCCGTCGCCGTGGCCCGTGAGAGAGTGCATATTAATAGAATAACCTGTTGAATGCAACAATTTCAAAGTATTTTAACCTTAAAATGCATAAAACTGGGTGATTTTTAGGCAGAAATTGAAGGAAGATTAGCGCCACAAGTGCCTCGAGATGCGCTCAAATACAGTTAAAATTTCAAAAATTTTCCGGGGGAGGCCCCCCAGCAAAATGACTTAGCTACGCCTATGGCAAAAACGGTAGGTGTAAGAGCCAAATCGAGCCGCGGGGTCGTCTCAACGAATCCAGCTGCAAAAGCCATCGGTGCGAAAAACAAATCTAATAGCTCGGAAGCTTTATCCCATGGTGGTGGCTAAAAAAGAAAAAAATCGAGAACAATAGATGTTACGAAGCGGTCGGCCCGAGGGCTAGTCGGAGGGAGATGAGGGTTGGAGGGGGAGGGAGGGAGGGGTATGAACTTTACGCCGACAAAAGCGCAGCCTTGATGGGGATGCAACTTAGCGCCAGATAATGGCGCGCCAGCCAAGTAACAAAGCTGCATTTTTGTCGTGTACCATATAAACCAATAAACGAAACCTAAATTAAATATAAGTCGAGAGAGTGGATAAATATTTCAGGAAGTCCGGTGGAATTATCGCACGGTGTGTCGCTGCTATAGCTTGAACCAGCGTTGCCGATGTGACGCGTTTAGATTATAAAAGCGGTCGTGAGAGTCAAAAGGGAATGCTGCGAGAACTTTTTAATATCCGGTTGACAAGCAATTTTAAAGGTCCCATTTACTGTTGTTCCTGAACTGGACCGCGTTAAGCAGAAAAGAACCAAGCCACGTCATCTATTGCCAAATTTAATTGGGCAATTTAATTTTTTACACGTGAGGATGGTTGTGCGTATTTTTGTGCAGATGTCAGAGAATTTTCTGTACAGCACGAAGCAAATTCCCTAAAATGTTCGATAGAATCCGCACATACGTTCCATCGTAAAAAATTAAACTGTCCACTTAAATTTTACAAAAGTTGAGGCTCACTGGAAAAAAAAACCATATTGGATCTAGAGTCCAGACTCTTAAAAACATCGACAAGAACAAGTACTCTTGATTCAATCAGAATCTAGCTTAAATCAAGAGCCAAGTGTCTTAATTTAAGCGGATTTCGTTTTGATTCAAGCAAAAATCCAATTGAATCAAGAGTATTTTTTCTTGTCAATGTTTTCAAGAGTCTGGACTCAA